ACTTCCCGGGCCAGCATCCACCACATCAGACCCACCGAGTGAGCTCCCTGAAAAGAGTGAGGGTCGTTAATCACAAGCCACTCACCTCACTACCTCTAGGGGCACAGGAACACACTAGTACAGACATACATGCAGGCAGAACTCTGACACACAAAATGACCCCGCAAACTAGGTGAAAACATGGGTCCATGATCACACTTGTAGCAAAGGTTACTATCAAACTCCACTCACTGGAACAGAGTGGGGTGTTAGCGAAAACCTTGCCACTCGTTTAGCACACTACCTACACTTGGGAGTTCATCGACCAGTTTGTGACCTCAACTCCAAGCTCTAACAATGTGCACAGAGATGAGGGGTTTCCCAGAACTCTCCACCAGAACACGTACCTTGTTGTTGCACGGAATGGCAATGTCCACGTAGCGGAGAGGAGAGTCTGTGTTACACAGAGCAATGGTGGGCAGGTTGACATAAGACGCCTCAGTGAGGGGCTGGTGGTCAGCCCTGGGGTCAGTGACCACTAGAAGCCGTGGCTCCCGGAAGGCTGCTTGGATCTGGTTGGTGAAGGTCCCAGGAGTGAAACGGCCAGCAATTGGAGTGGCTCCGGTGGCAGCAGCAAACTTCAGCACAGCTCGCTATGAAGGAAGACTGAGTCAGCATTTTCAAGCATAGTTTGCAAAGAAAACAGTTGATACCCATCCCACTTCCAGCCACAAGAAAGATGTCACCTTTCAACACTGAAGTCCAAGTAACAGCACATCCTTGAATTACACACACTCTTCTGAGGCTAAACTGAACACTTGCACACCACATCTCCTCATCTATGAAGCATCTCACATAACCCAAGTCCCTCAGGTTATTCACGCAGCAACCCCGCCCCCCCCCACCCCGTGCCTCTGTACACCTTTATCAGAACAGAGCAAGAACATCTCTTCCCTGCTTCTCCTCTAAAAATATTTCCTTTTTGTCTTATAGTTAATGGATGAGTGGTTTGTTGCACGTGTACAAGCATTTCACTCATACACGTGGAGGTCATGGGACGTTGAATCCCTTTGAACTGGAATTGTTTCTGGTTGTAAGCCTAGCCTGTAACAGCTGAGCTGTCCCTCCAGCCCTTGCTGGCTGAGTGCTGGCTACTGAACACAGGGCCTCTGTAAGCACAGTTCTCTTAATCACTGAGTATCTCAGTCCACATTTTGGGGAGTATACAGGATCTCAACTGTGTAGCCTTTCCTAAGAGACCTATCTGCCTGCCCCTCTCACCCTAGAGGTTTCCTGACCCCGACTCCCTCCCGGAGTTGGTCCTAAGCACCAGCCAACACTTCCTGAGGAGGGTTAACAGTAATTAAGCCATATTCTATCCTGTCCCACACAGGTCTAGACAGGCCCACTCTTAAGGAACCACCTGCACAGAGACTAACAGACCCTTACTGTAACATTAAATCACTTTTGCTGGAATTTAACTTAGGATGAACTGAATCCTCACTCTAACTCAGCCAGCCTGTAAATAACAGAAACAGCAGTTTTCCTAACAGCAAAAGATACTCTCACTTATAAAAACAAGACACAAGTTAGCAAATAAGAACTCTCAAGACCGCAGATGAGCTGTTACAAGGACCAGGCTCAAAGGGAAAGCAAGTTTACTCTGTGGCTGACGATACCTTTCTTTTGTCTGCCACTGAGGGATGTAGGACTGTTTCCTGCATGGTTTGCCTCCTCAGTCACTGTCCACAGGACTCTGAGAAGTTGTAGGAATATGCAGGGGCAGGCCCAAGGCCCAGCTTCATCTCCAACGTTGTGGAAAGGGACTGTACATCACAGGCAATGCCTCTGCTCCCCTACGCCACCAGGACAGAGCCCAGGGAGAGTGACCTCCTGGGATATCCACGTTGGATGCCTCTATTCCTCTATACCCTACCAATGTCTTTTGTGGATTACTGCCACAAAACAAATACCAGCTTCCAGTCTACAAACCTGCCCAGTGTTCCTGGAGGAGATGACGCTGACATCAGCGGGGTTCTCAATGGCAACGATGGCCCGGGCTGCCAGCAACAGCTTCTCCCACGTCCTCTTCAGATTGATGATGTAGATACCTAGGTGACAACAAGTGGATTGGGGCAGGGTTGTCAAGATAGTCTCTTGTTACCTAGGCACTGTTACTAGGCTGGCCTTGAACTCCGAGATCTACCTGCCTGCCTCCCAAGTGCACCTGGCAGCAAATAATTTCTAAATGGGGTGTCACGGATCAATCCCAGTGCCCCAGATGGATTTGCCGAAAGACACTGTAGGAAGGCAGACTGTGTATGTGGCAGTGACCACTATCAACTCCAGTCACAGAGACAAGCTCTACTGGTGTTAGCGAAAATCCTGCCGTGTATTCAATGTAGCACACTTCCGACACTCAGAAGTCCACTGGCCAAGGGTGGCCTCCACCCTGAGCTTTAATAGTGTGCAGCTTTAGTTCTGTCTTTCTCACGTGTTCTCACACATGTTCCTCCCTCCCTCTCAGCCCTCCTTTGTACCACTGCATAGAAATCAAATCCATCCTGCCAACCCCTCCCAACGCTCCATTCCCTCTCGTGAACGCACAACCTCCCCCTCTCCTCACAGCCCGTCCTGCCGCTCTTTCTTGGCAGTTTATGCCCACACCTCATTCTACTTCCCACTAACCCTACATGACTGATCTGTCATACAGGATGCCCCGTGGGAAACGAGATCCTTTCCCCCTACCTCTTACCCACAGCAAACCTTCCCAGCAGCGTACCCCCCACAACGGCGTAGTCCTTAGAAGAGGTCTGCCCTATGCGTCAAAAGGGTCACTGACCATCACTTTTCCTCTTGTAGATGTACTGCTCCATCTGGAAGTCAAGGTTGGTGCCACCTAGGTGGGTTCCTGCTGCAAGGAACTTGAGGACATCCTCCTCCTTCATCTGCAGGACATCGAGGGCTCCGGACATTGTGTAAGTTTCCCTTATAAGTTACGACGGGAATCTGAAAGAGACCAGGTTTCAATGTAGCCCCTGCCTCCCGGGAGCCGGATAAAGAAAGGCGTGTGCCACCAGGTGAAGCTGGAGCGGGGTGCACACGTGTTCCTCCCTCCCTCTCAGCGTCTCTGGCCACCTAGCCCACCAGTGCATCGGGACACACGGGAGAAACGCCGGCCAAGTGCAAGCTGACGCTTCCGCGCGCACAGACATTAAGTTTGCTCGCACAAGGCGTGGCGCATGCGCAGTCATGCTGGGGGGGGCGCCCCAGGCTTT